GCGGGGCCCCCGCCTCTGCGTGACGCAGAGATGGTTCTGGAAGAGTTTGGTTGGTCGGTGCGCTTCGCCGCTCGGCGCTTTCCCCCTCCCCCTCCTTTGAACTGAATTCGCGGGAAAGGGCCGCTCGCTCCCCCTTGCTCTGCGAACCGCAGAGCATGCTGGGTAAGCGTTGGCTGCCTGAAGCCTACCGACGCCTCGCCAGCGATCCCTGCGGTGTCTCGTGCCTACCCTGTCAATCAGCCAGTAGCCGCCCCGCGGGGTGTCCCCTCAGAGCCGTCCTGCTCTGCCCTACTGCAGCGCCCCTCTGCCGATCCCATCCCAGCCCAATAGGGTCCCCCAACTCCTCCAGCCCCAGATTTTCCCCGGCAGCTGCCCCCCTCCCCCTCCACTGGACCTTCTCCACCCGCTCGCTCGCTCCCCTGCCCTGCCCCTCAGCATGACCTCTGGGAGGTTTCCTCGGATTAAAAACTTCAGACGCGCCAAAACGAAGATGAATGAGTTGAAATAACTCAAGAGGAGTTCAAATTGATTTGAACGCAGGGACCGGATCAGACCTGTAGTCTCCCCAAATCCAGGGATACTGGATGTCTCACAGGAAGGGGCGAGAAAGAATCTGTCCCCTCCACAAACTAAATATTCCCCTTGGTTTTTGCTTTCTATCTCCCCACCTTTCTTTGCTAAAGGAGGTAAAAATCACGAGGAAAATGTTGTGTGACTGCACTTATTTCCCTATTTACTACAGGGCCACACTACAATTACTCACTTATGTATAGTTAAGTGCATAAATCCGGTTATGTAGAGCCATCAGAAAAAGCACGCCCTTTATGTGATAAAATCAGATAATGCATCTTTTAACATTAAAACAAATTCACTGAAATAATCAGGTGCAATTCCACTTACTTTATTCAGTAGTGTTACTCCCACTTATTAGCAGTGTGGTTGGCTCAGCATATTAGTTTTCATGGTCATCCAACCCTATTCCCTATCTCTTGAGAAATTAAACATACTGACTACTGATGATATG